CGGCTGGGATGTATACATCTCTCCAGAGCCGCCTGGGCGGCTGTAGAGGAAGTGACGTGACAGCACGGAATCGCCGTGCATGGTGAAGGAATGGCGGCGTCCAGTGGCTCTGTTGACGCCATCGAGGCGCAAGGCTCCTCCTGGCTGCAGTGGATGCAGCAGCCGGAAGCACAGCGTCATCACCGCCGGTTCCATCCTGAGCAGCTCCTCGATGGCTCGCGGAGTGCCATGCAAGACTGGCTGAATGACTTGGTGGGCCTTCTTCTGCACGGCCACGCCCAAGTCCAGATGAGGTGTCAATTCCTCTGGGAACCAGCGCCTGGCCACTTCTCCAAAAGCTCGAAAAACATCCATGGGGATCTCGAAATCTTGTTGTGCTGTTTCTGCATCCAAGGGCTGGGCTAGTACGAAACGTTCTGGCAGGGTGGCTTTTCGGGTGCTCCAGGTCTGCACCATCAGGGGGTCCCCACCGGACAGTTGCCTCACGAGGCAACGGTTGTAGTCGCGCGAAGGCATTGCCAAGGTGTTTACGGCCGGCTGACCGTAGGTGAAGGACAACAACGCACGCGAGGCATCCAGCCTGCAAGTCGATTCGGTCTCCCCGTTAGGCAGCACCGTGCTCACACGCACGGCCTCTGCTCCGGCGCGGAGCCAGTGCTCCTCTGCCACGCTGGCCACCAGTCTCTTCGTCTTCACTGCATAGCCACAATGCACTGCCACCACACCACACTCACTTCGCACCTTCATGGCTCCGGCACGCAAGCGCAGCAGAGCCACAGCCATGCAAAGCCGCCGCAAGTCCGGCACGCCCCACACCAAGGCCAGGCGCTCGCCAAGCAGGCAAGACACCAGGCGGTACCAGACATACATTCCGTCCAGCAGCACGCCAGTCAGTGCCAGGTGCCAGCCAGAGGGGGGGTGAGTGTTCTTCACCATGGGAACTGAGAGAGAGAGTGCTTGTTGCTTGAAGCCAAAAGTCAGACTGTAAATCGACGAGAAATCTTGTATGGCAAACATGCAAGAGGGCATCTATACCAGCTAGGGTTCTAGATTGGCATCTTTATCTTGAAACATGCGCAAGGTGGCTTCCCCGCTTGGATGAACAGTCCACCGAAAATGAGCACATCGCAACGCCTCTTTTTCACCGACGATGAGCAACGACTTCTAGCAGGCTGATTACTCTCTGCGCATCATAATCTCTCAATCCACCCTGGAGAGGCGCATCACTGGCGTGAGTTGGTATCCTGCCACGAAGTGCGTAGTTGCAGGCAGGGCCATCTCCAGGTCGTCCATCAGCACCAGACGGCAGGCAGCCACCTCGGCCCGCACGAAGCCCAGGGTCTTCATGGAGGCCACCGGCAGCAGGAGGCCGCCGTGGGGCTTGGGCAGCGCCTGGATCGCACGGCACACCAGGTCGGCGACAGTGTCGCCGCTGAAGACCTGAAAACAGACAGAAATGGGGAATGGAGGGA